CTCCAGTAGCCCGGCCGGGCGCGCCGCCTCCGGCCACGAGCTCACCAGCCCCGTCCCCTCCCCCAGGTCTGCGCGCAGGTCACTTCCTCCCGCCGCGCGCGGCCGTTGAGCCGTAGCCATGGCACTCACCCCCGGGCCGGGCCGGTCGTTACACCGGCCACAGGACAGCCGCGCGCCAACCTGCTCCCTGGGGACCTGTGCCACTGGCGCGGGGACTGAGGCGGTTTCCTGAGCGCGGGCCGTGCACCTGCTCTAGGCTCCTGTCCCCGCTGGAAAGGGGGCCCGGCAGCCGCAGGTGAGACTGATGCTCTGACTCCGTCCTCACCCCTGCGGGGGCGCAGACACGGGGCATCCTCCGCAGGCCAGACCGACGCCAGCGGGCCTCTCCTGAGTCAGGCCAGCTCTGCACTTTAAGTTTCACTTGGACAGGAAGCTCCAGGAGAGAGTTTATTGCAGGATCAGGCCTATGAGGATAGGCATGAGGTGGACTCTCCTCCGCCCTCCGTTAATGTATTTAAGTGGCCTTTGAACAACGTGCAAGCAAGTCACAAATGAAAACAAAACAATCTGGAACTACAATATATGTATTTTTGCTGGGTTAAGCAGATAGGTCTACACTGGTTCCTTTTTTTAAAGCACACAAACAGCCCAGATACTGCTGACATTTCTTTGTTAACTAGGTAAATATTGCTAGTGGGCCAACATTCCCCACAATCATTTCCAGGTTTTGCATTGATGATAAGAAAACTTAATTCCAGAGAAGGAAATCCAGCAATATCTCCCAAATAGTTTGGGAAACTGGCACTCCAGAAGATGATTTGTAAATCATACAGCAATTCACAAAGAGTTTACTAGAAGATTTACCTGGCATTCCCCAGATCTTTCAGGGCATGGTGTTGAGGGTGCAGGAGTCAGAGCAGGGCCGGTGGCCACCCACTGCCCTGTGCACCCTACACACCAACATGTCTCTGGGACCAAGCTGGCATATTCCTGGGGCTGGGTTGGCGGGGGCCATACACCCTGCCCTTTGATGTGTTTTCAGGGCTGGGCTTTCTCCACCTGTCTAGCAAAGCACACAATCCAGTGTCACATTCAAGGGCAAAGGGATGAGTTTGAGGCAGGGAGTCACTTACCAGTCCGTGGGCATCCAATGGCTTAGGCAAGGGAAGGCGCTGCCTTCCCAAACCACCAACCTGGCCATGCATGCCCACATTCCACTTCCAGAGCGTCTACTGTAGGCATTCTGGGGGCAGAGTGTTATTGCCATCAGCACCAGGCCAGGAAGGCTGGAACCACTTCCTTCTCTCCCCTAATGCTCCAGGAGCTGGACTGCACACACACTCCCCTTCCCTCTCCACACCTTCCGACCCACCTTGGTGCTCCGGAGTGACTGTGGAGCGCTCAGTGCACTGCCCCACCTCCTCCCCTTCTCAGGGGGTGGGGCCTCAGCAGAGGGGGTGGGACTGGGGACGGGCCAACAGTCCGATGGCCGGCAAAATGGCAAGTCCCAGAACTAATTTGCCACTCTCTTGGTGGTGTGGCTGCTCCCAGTAGTCACTCTACAATATTGCTGTCCCTCTGATCAGCCCTCTCCCTTTCTATGTTATGGAAAACCATCTCATTCCAGGCAGATCCTGGAATTCCTGCCACAACTAAACCCAGGGCTTGGGGCACATGGTAGAGATGTAAAAGGTTAACTGGTTACCAGGTAAGCATTAGCCTTACTGACATGTTTAGCTGGTGTCCGGGCTGTTCTCCACTCTGGACTCCGAGTGCAGAAGATAGGGGCCCACAAGAGACCTTAAATATCTTGCCTCCATAGACTCTGTTTACAAAAATGTCTTAGAGTCACAGATGCACTGGCTCTGAGAAAAAAAAAGCTGCCACCATCAAGTGATTTAAACCCTAAAAAAAGGGGAGGAACACTTGAATTCCTTCCCCTGGGATAGCTCAAGCTCTTTTACCATAAGAGAGCTTGAAAAAACAAAGAGAAAATAAACTGCAGTCTCTGGTAGCTGACCACTCAGTCTTAGGCAGGCAGACATACCCACACAGACAGACTTCCTGTTTCTTTCCAGGACACAAGACTCAAATCATCATCTTAAAAAAAGGTGATTTTATTAACAAAACAAAAAGATATACTTGATAAAGCATATTTAGTTGGTAGGTATTACAGGGTGTGTCAGGGATGCCCCGGCGCCCTGCACACTAGCTGTTGCCGTCCCCAGAGCTTTGAAGCGAGGCACTGCCCCAAGCCCAGCCCCGACTTTGCCGCGCATGCTTGGCGGCTGCCGGCAATGCCGGACAGCCCTTCCAATCCTGGTGAGAGTAAAGGGAAGGTGCCGAGCGTGAAGCTGCGGCCCTCCCTACATCAGACATGGCACCGGCGGGAAGTTCAAAAGGCACGCTGCCAGCATGAGAGAAAAGAGACTTACCCATCTGGAGGGAGCAGCTGGAGGGCGCAGGAGGAAGGTAGGAAGTGGCCCAGGACGTGGCTTATGGATAGCCTGTGGGTTGCTGTGCTGCGGATCACAACCCCACCAACCAGACCAGGGACAAACCCTCTGGTTCTTAGGGCTTTGCGTCAGGGCTCGGAGAGAAGGCAGGCCCGAGCCCCCCTACCTTCCCTTGCTGCTCACCCTACCAATCTTGTACTGAACCTTAAGTACTGGTCACGCTGCAAAGGGTGCCGGCGGACTAGGAACACACGCTGCACTGGCGGTCCCCGCGAATGCAGAACTGATGTTGTTAAGGCCTGGTGGGCTGACCACTGGGGACGGGGGAAGGGTAGGACGGTACACCCCTCTCCAGCAGGGTTACATGTGGTGGAGAATGTGGGTATTGTCCCATCCCTGAGGTGAGGGGTCAAGAAAAAAAAAGGAGTAGGTGTAGATAGATAGATGTGATAATAGATTGATGGTGGGGTGCGGGTGAGGGCCTGGGCGGCCCCAAGAGAGAGACTTATTACTTTATTTAGGAAGGTTTTTCAGAAAGCATTTGGGGTCTCAGATGGAGACCCCCAAGCTGCTAGAATGGATAGCGGAATATAAGAGACAGCACCAACAACAACAGACACAGCTGAATCAAAAACAGTAAAGGCAACTTTTACGGAAGTTATACGAGCAACAACAGATCCAGCAGGAGAGATGGCCGCAGCGGCACCCGGCCGTAGAACCCTTGGCACCTGGACCAGCAGGGCCAATGGAGGCTGGCCCTGGCAGCGGGTACCAGTTACCAATACGTTTAATGAAGATGGGACCAACAGACAATCCAGAGGCGTATCTGGTGATCTTTGAGAGAGTTGCAACCACTGCCTGGTGGCCAGAAGATCAGTGGGCTACCCTCCTGGCCCCCTATCTGTCAGGGCCAGTGCAGTTGGCCTACCGCAGCCTCTCGGTACAGGAGGCCCTCCACTACCACAAGGTCAAAGAGGTGATCCTAGATCAGTTAGGGGTTATGCTGGAGACCTATTGACAGGTTCCTCCAGGAGCGCTACCCTCCCCCCCCGGGCCCGCCCGGGGGCCCTGGCCCAGAAGCTCCAGGAATCCAGCCGACGTTGGTTGGAGCCCGATCAGGAAACCGGGTTGCAGGTGGTGGAGATGGTCTTCCTAGATCAGTTTATATAGATCCTGCCCACTGAGAGGCAGCGATGGGTCCGGCGACACCACCTCACCTCCTCAACAAAGCTGTGGGCTTTATGGCAGACTACCTGGCAGCAGAGGGAATAGAGGAGAAGGGTACATCAAAAAGAGAGACGCCGGCCACACAGAGGGGGATAGCTGGGTTCCAAAAGGGCGGAGAGAATCAAGAGAAAGCCACCACAGGGCTGGGGGGCAGTGGGGGACGACGATTGGCTCCCGTGTGGCCTAGCCCTTCAAGAGAGGACCCCGCAAGAGTGCAAGCTGGCCCCGAAGAGGGTAACCCTACTCTACTGAGTAAGGCAGAGCCCAAGAATATGTGTTTCGAATGCGGTCAAGAGGGCCATTTTAGACGGGACCGCCCCTTTGGGCAAGTGTTAACGGTAACCCAAAGGGAACAACCCGTAGGAGGAGGGAGAATAATTGTAAGGGTCCGCGTGGAGGGCACGCCAGTGGAGGCCCTTGTGGATACGGGCTGTAGCCAAACCATCGTGAGGGCATACTTAGTGAGGCACTTTCAGTCGGCAGGGCTCCCGCTGCGTATGCAATGTGTGCATGGGGAAGTGCCCCGACCACATGGGTCCATCTGGCTGAAGGGAAGGAGGAAACAATTTGCTGAGTGGCCTTAGCCCCAAAGCTCACTTACCCAGTTATATTGGGGTGGGACTAGGGCAGATTTCAGCACATCTGGAGGGACTGGAACAGGAAGGAATTGGAGGGGCAGGCCTGCTTAAACCAAGCAGATTCTGTGGGGACCCAGGAGGACACAGAGAGGGGCTGTGGTGCTCAGCACAGAAGGGGAAAGATAGAAACCAGCCCTACAGGAAGCTTGCACCTGATGGGGTGTTGGACGGGAGAGGCTTCTTCGAAGAACAGTGAGCCGATCCCTCCTCACAAAGGGCCTGGGAATATGCATCCGATGGAAAGAGGGACCGAACAGAGATGCAGGCACGAGGGCCTCATTTCAAGGTACACGCTGAAAGGCTGTATGGGTGGTGGACAGCCCCGGGGAAAGGGGAGAGACAAGGCAGTTATTAGTTCTGGCACACCATCAGAGGGTGCTGGTAGAGTTAGCCCATGATAACCTGTGGGCCGGACACTTGGGTCAAGACAACACACTGCAGCAGGTCCGTCAGAGATTTTATTGGCCCGGCATACATAAAGAAGTAAAGAACTTCTGTAAGACATGCCCTGCCTTCCAGTGGACGGGTTCAGAGGTGGTACCCAAGGCCCCTTTTGTACCTTTGCCCGTGGTGGGGGTACCCTTTGAACGGATTGCCTTAGATATAGTTGGCCCCCTGGAAAAATCATAAGGGGGTCACCAATATATAATGGTAGTTTTGGATTATACCACCTGCTACCCTGAGGCCATCCCTTTGCGAAACATCACAGCCCCAACCTTAGCCACCAAGCTGATGAAGATCTCTCGAGGGGGAATCCTTCGAGAGGTCTTGACCAACCAGGGTGCAAATGTGACGTCTTGATTAATGGCAGAATTGTGCTGCCTATTAAATATTAAGACTTTAAAGATGTCTGTATACCACCCCCAGACAGATGGACTGGTAGAACATGTTA